CTAAATTATTGCACATGTTCTGTGCACTAGTCAGTGGCATGCTGCAATGGGCTGCTGTCTCTCTCTTTGACTGTTGACATTCTGGGAGATCATTTAAACGAGGCCTGCACAGCATTTTGCACTTTATGCGACCTCGAGAGCCGTGCACAAGTGCCGTGCCTTGAGTGCAAATGCAGAGAATTTTGAAGAATGATGATGAGACAAATTCTAGGAGTGGGAACAACCAATTAGAATGCACAAATCGAACCAAAGCACATAAATTGAAAGAGCAATCGATGAGAAAATGACAGTCACATACAGTTCAAATAATATTGCCTTTTGCATTATATTGGAAATGTTTGTTGTCAATATATGACAAAGTGAAATATGAAACTAAAACAAATTATACATATTTGATTTGGACACAAAATTTATAATTGCTATTAGGGCTGATGACGTAATTTGCTTTGCGACAATGTAATCACAAATATAGTGTTTTCCTTAACCCAAAATAATGATGAAAATTTTTTATTGTTTGATGATGAGAGCAAGAAACTACTTTTTCATTAACTATGTTTAATTTTTGGTTCTCTCAAAGCTAAAAAATAGTATTCTTCAAAAAAATAATGATTATTTTCTGCTCTAATTTTTGACAAGAGTTCATTATATATTTCTAATATCAAATCAACCAGCACTATTTATTCATCATTTACAACATGGTATGAAAATATTAAGCCCTTTGCTTTCTAATTACCAAACCCCATGCTAATCTCATGATTGCCCGTAACATATCATCAGACAGGTTTGCTTGTTGATATCTTCAGATTCATAATGGAAGGAAATGGATACAAATATATGCGCTGCTAAAGTTTACCCTTCTTGCAATTGCCTATTGTAGAATATTTCAACACTATTGTGTTTAATAATTATTATAATACATTTTGTGAGCTATTTGCATTGTTTGCCAATGCTATCAGTATTGGTATTATTTATTAACTTTTAATTATTTTACTTTCTTGCATACTGCTTATGACAAATACTGTAAGGCTAAAAAACACATCCTTTATGTTCATGAATACACTGTATACCTTATACAATGAATTCAATGCCAGAAATATATTTTCATGTAAAGTTTAGAATAAAAAATCTATTGCTTAAGACTAACTTTCTCACCAAATGTTCTACAATTTCAAATGAGATTTACAAAAAAATGATTGAGATGTGTTAATTCGGAGAGAAGATGTGGCATAAACAGTATTACATACCCATTGCTGAAGGCGAGAAAGTATGTGCTGTTTTTAGCTCCACTAGTTTACTTCTGTTTTGTGGGTTGTGTAAAAGAAATTCCATCTCTTGGAAATCTCAAGTTTCAAGTCTGTGATATAGTTTTTCAGATTCAGAATAACCTATTTCATTGTCTTGTTCTGAAACGTATGTTTCATTTTTTGTGGCATTTTGTCATAACCAAATGCAGTTCTTTAAAATTAATTGTTCATCAATTTAGTTAGAAAGAATGATTTCTTTATATGATATGGACAATGCCATGTTTTTAATTGGATGCTGGGATTGAATTGATAAAACCCAATTGATGTTATTCAACTTTGCTGTACATTTGAATAAGAGAGACGTAGTAACTTTTTAATTGGAATGTTTTGTTTGTATTGCAAGTAATTGATATGATCACTTTATATCCAGTTTCATTGGCCAGAAGATTGCAAGAACCACTCAGTGAACTTGTAAAAGTGGAGCCCAAGCACCTTGGAGTTGGAATGTACCAACATGACATTCCTGAAAAAAAATTGTCAGCTACTCTAAATGAAGTAGTTGTGGAGTGTGTGAGTTTTGTTGGTGTGGATGTCAACACTGCATCAGAGACGTTACTGAGGTACTGTGGTACTTATGGTCCTATTGTTTTGTAACCATTTCCTTTAGCTTCTGTGCTATTTTAATTACTTCATTGTATTTTCATATCAGGCATGTTGCGGGTTTAAATGCCACAAGAGCTTCCAATATTATTGATTGGCGGACCAAGAAAGGCCCCTTTCTCAACAGAGATCAGTTGCATCTTGTTAAAGGAGTTGGACCAAAATCCTTTGAACAGTGCGCTGGATTTCTTCGTATAATCTCAGAAACTAGCTCCTCCTTGTGCTTTGGTGATCTCAAGTAAGATTTTGTTTTTCCTAAATACATCTTCATCATTTATTCTATGAATGAAATTAGAAGGAACTTGACAGTTCATGGTAATAGCAGTGCTGTAACCAAGTCAGAAGCTTTGACATTTGCACAATATTGACTCCTCAAATTATAGAGCAAATAAATTGCATGCATCAAATGTAGTTAATCGACTGAGTGTCATTACATGTATTGAGAGTCAGGTTAATTGTATAAACTATTTCACTGCTATGAGCATGTGGCTGAGGCAATCCGTGTTGTTATTGCTATGAGCCGCTGTAATGGTCAGAGGTATTCAGGTGTCCATGGCAAGTAAAGAGTTTGCCTCCCTGTTAGGATACTTCAAATTAAGTTTTTGTTATTTATTTTTTATGGGTATATTCTAAACAGTGCCCTGTGAGTGGTGCCCATGGCTCATGCCTTGTCTGCCATACTGTAGATATGCCTCTGATAACAACTGGCATCATTCCATTCCTCCTGTGCCACTATTGTGGTGCAAAGAAAACTTTTGTTTAAATACTCAACCCCACTATAGTTGCTTTTGGTTGCCTCTGTGTCAACTGCTGTTTGTCACTAATATTTTTGAGATTTACTGGCAGGTTTCGGGGCTTTTCATCTTCTATTGCTCTTCTAAATTCATCGTGCAAATGACATTATGAATCATAACATTAGTGAATTGTGTTCAGTATTAGTATTGATAGGGCAAAAAATGTGTGATTGGGTAATTACTTTATATGAAGTCAAAGAAATGCTCATGAACAGTGATTTTGAAGAAGATCCCTCAAATAATGAAGATGAGGAATATAACCTCAACGTATCCTTAATGACTGGTACAAAACAGTGTGCTAGAAGTGCATTTGGAGCTTCAGATCATATTACAGATCTAAATAGTGATGATGATTATGCTGATGAACGCAAAGGATTTTCTCCGGAAAAGAGGGAACTTGTCTCCTAAGATTGAGCATTGTGACATTTCATCATTTCGTGTGAAAGTACCGAATTTGTAAGGTTTCCAAACACATTTCATTAAAAAAGAATTTTAGTCTTTTGAGTTTTTTTGGGATGAAGAAACAGTAGATTTAATTGTAGAAGAAACCAATAAAAATACACAATTACTTTCAGAAATGAAATGTATTTATTTTTTGGTATGGTGTTTTTGTTGACGTGTTATAAAAAAAATTGCTAGATGAATGCTGATCTAATTACAAACATCTAAAAACTCAGATTATTTTATTGTTATAATTATTATTGTGTTAAATTATTCTATGTTTTTTCCTTTAAATATTCACCAATAAATAATCTTACCTTCAAAATTTCCTAGATTAAATCTGTTGTAGCTGCAATGATTACAAAAACATTTGTACGTTATCTGTAAAAAAGCTTTCAGCACAGTGCATCATAATGTCGAAGCTTGTAGGCAGGGATGGTTAAAGCGCTGAGCATGCAGTACATGAGTCACGCTTTACACTTAATTCACCAGCAGTGAAAAGATTGAAGAGCATTTGCTAGAGTGGGAATTATGAGTAGAGTGTTTTATTAGTTTTGTTGTAGTCTTTAATCAAATATCTTGGTATGATAGCTATATGTACTGAAATGTGCTAGTGTTTGTTCTACATAGTAATGCCATCTTGCTCCACACCCAACTGCCAACAAAATTCTAATTTTATTCAGACCATAGAAAATTATGTTAGCAGACCAGTGATGTGTCACTGAATCAATATGCCTTTAAATGTAATTTACTGGTATTGGCTTACATATATATATATCTGTTTTATTAGGATTGGAAAGGTTCTTTTCAAACAAGGTAAATCAAAGCCCATTAAATTGATCATTATTAGGCTAGACAAACTTGTGTTTATGTCCAAAATGATGTGTTGCAGAAGTGAAGCATCTACCTCCAAAGGTGAGAAGAAGGTAGCCATTGGGAGTGAAAATGCTCCAAATCCTCTGGATCGAACATGGATTCATCCAGAGTCCTATGTTACTGTTTATTGGTTTGTATTTTTCATTCATTAAAAACACACACAGACACACCAAAAATCAGTTGATTCTTTGTCAACATTCCACACATTGCAAATAATTGTTTTTGAAAAAGGTTCGTACTGAAACACAATTATTAATTTTGCCACATATTGAAAATTAATTAAAACCACATTAATTTTACATATTTTGGAAAAATCAATGGTCTGCAGCAGCAAAATTGCTGTTGAACAATGCCACACAAAATAGATTTCCAAAAAGCAGCATGCACACTTCTTGAGAAAAATAAATAAAATACTATACATAAAATTCACTGCAATAAATTAAACATTTCAACAATAACACCCTTCACGAGTACTGCAATAACATGGTACAACAGTTCATATACATATATACTGTCCATCAGTTCTTAAACACCAAAAATGTTGCTATTCTGTATGTAACACAACACATGAAAAACAAATATTTTTTTGGTGGGTGGCTTCTTTGAAGCTTTTGTTGCATGATGCAATGAATATGAGAATTCAGTTGGTATGTGTGTTATGAAAATAGGCAGAGTACAGTTTAATATTTACACACTTTCATGTTATACTAAGTTGAATTATGAATACATGCAGCATAGTTATAAAACTTCCATTACATGATGTTCATCATTAAGTTTTGAATATGATGCAACTTTTTTTCTTTTTATTTCAGGTTCCTTGAACTGTGTGACCTTACACTTTCAGAGTTTGGAAGTGAAAAATTTTTAAGTAAAATACGAAACAAAGTCGAAGAGATAGGTAAGTTTGTGAAGAATACCAAAATAATTAAACATATCACAGAATTTTCAATATTTTACTTTCTTCCTATTTTTAATAGGTCTCCAGAAAATTGCTCTATCTGCAGATGTATCAGAAGCAAGACTGAAACTTATTGTTGATGGATTGACACAAAAACCTGATTATGATTTCCGTTCTCAGTTCCAGAAACCTCTTTTTCGTAGTTCAATTTGTACAGTAAATGATTTGGTTATAGGGAGTACTCTTACAGGTAACTTCAATTTGCATTCCAATAATATTTTACATATTACAATTTTTTTAGATAACTAATTACAAAATGTTTATGTTATTTTACAGGAAGAGTACAGAACGTTACTCATTTTGGAGCATTTGTTGATGTGGGCGTTGGAAATGATGGATTAATACACATATCTCAGATGAGAAATACCAAGTTGCAAGTTGGAGATCGAGTGGAGGTAGTAGTACTAAATGTAGAAATAGGACAAAGGAGATCTAAAATAGGCTTAAGTCTAGCTCGTAAAGTGTAAAGATGAGATAAAGCTTTTATGAAGCTTTTTGAGCTCAAGTATTCTCCATTGAATTTTATTTACAGGTGTATATTGTACATTTAAAAGACTGAATGAAAATATTATATATTTATTTTTTGCATACTTTCATCCTTATATTGAACCTTTTCCTATTCACTAACTCTGCCAATTGATATTAATAAAAATGGCTTACACTTGAAACGAGAAAAACCTATTGTACACCAATTTAGAAATGTGTCTTTCAAAATTTGAGCTAAGTTACTAGGGACCAGATTTCAAAGCAGCTGTATTATTCCCCCAGCCATCAGAAAATATGCCCATTTGGATCTGTACCAAATTCCCAATCATGCATATTTTGCCTGTTTTTTAAAAGCATCATTGATAATAATATTTTTTGAGTCACAAATACAATTACAATAGTGTATGACGAGTCAATATGATGTCTTGGGTGGAGAGAGTGAAGTTACACTGTTGTTCAGGAGGAAAACAAGGGGCCATCTCAGCATTTTCTCAAGGGACCAGGGAATCTGAACAAAACCTCAACGAGATGGGGTCATTGGTCTAGGGGCTATATTACAATACATAGCTACAGATAGATTAGGATATTATAAGGGAAATATTGTTGTGATTTGAATATTCCTTTGCACTGTAGAACGTGTTAAGCAGGAAAGCTTTCAATTTACTTTTAAATGTATGAATTGTGTTTATGTCTTTAATATCATTG